CCAAGTCTAGCACTAAGCCACATCTACATGTGCAGGTCCCAGGTTGCAGGGAGTGCCTGAGCCAGCCAATCCTGCTGGAGGGCAGCAGTGACAACACCTGTGTGCGCTGCCATCAGCTGGATGACCTACTCAGCCTGCTGGCAGAACTCAAAGAAGAGATTGAGAGTTTAAGAAGTATTAGGGAGTGTGAAAGCAAAATTGATTGGTAGAGTAACACCCTAGCACCCCTAAAGTAACAGGAGCAAATGGAGGCTCCAAACGAGGCAGGTAATCCCTCATCCTCTTGCTGTCAGGCAGAAGGAGGGGACTTAAGAGATAGGGGAGACTGGAAACAGGTCCCTGCTTAGGGAGGCAGGAAAATCCTCTCCAGACCTCCCTCACCCTCCACGGTGCCCCTTCACAAGAGATTCAGGGCCCTGGAACTTTTGAATGAAGAAGAGAAGGAGGAATAAAATGAGAAAAATGAGGAAGACCAAGGTCCACCAAGGCCAGGTCATTCTAGACCAGGTATTAAAACCAGCTCTGAAAAGAACCTCAGAAGAGTCATTGTGAGGGGTGTCGAAGGCCCCATATGCAGACCGGACCCACTTCATAGGGAAGTCTGCTGCCTCCCTGGAGCCCGTGTCAAGGACCTCACAGCAAAACTCCGCACTCTGGTGAGACCCAAGGACTACTACCCTCTCCTGGTTTTTCAGGTAGGTAGTGATGACATCACTAGGAGAAGGCCTAAGGCAATGAAGAGATATTTAAGGTCCTTGGGAAAACTGCTTAAAGGGTCGGGGGCACAAATTGTGTTCTCCATCCCTTCGGTTGGGGGGATGAATGAGGAAGATTACAGGAGAATTCAGCAGATGAATGGGTGACTCCAAGACTGGTGTTACCATTAGGGCTTTGGATTTTTCAATCATGGTATTGTGTATAGGGCACCTGGTCTTTTGACATTAGACGGAATGCACCTGTCCCAGAGGGGAAAGAGGATCTTGGGGCAGGAGTTAGCTGGGCTCATTGACAGAGCTTTAAACTATATTTGAAGGGGGAAGGGGGAAAAACATTAGCCCATCTGAAGTGCATGTATACCAATGCACACAACATGGGTAACAAGCAGGTGGAGCTTGGAGCCGTGATGAAACAGGAAAATTATGATGTTGTTGCTATTACAGAAACATGGTGGGATGTCTCCCATGACTGGAGTGCACCAATTGATGGCTACAGGCTCTTTAGGAGGGACAGCCAAGGAAGGAGAAGTGGTGGGGTGGCGCTGTATGTTAAGGACTGCTATGATTGCTTTGAGTACGAGTGTAATGAAGACAGGGTAGAGTGTCTTTGCGTTAGAATCAGGGGGAAGGCCAACAGGGCAAATGTTGTAGTAGGAGTCTACTACAGGCCACCCAACCAGGACAGAGAGATGGACGAGATATTTTATAGGCATTTAGGTGAAATCTCATGATCGCTTGCCCTTGCTTGTGGGCGACTCTAACTTCCCCGATATCTGCTGGAAATACAACACAACAGAGTGAGACCGGTCCTGGAGATTCATGGAATGTGTGGGATACAACTTCTGATGCAACTGGTGAGTGAACTGACCAGAGAAGGTGCCCTACTGTATCTCCTCTTTGTGAACAGAGAAGGACTGGTGGATGATGTGGCGGTTGGAGGCTCAACCTAGTCTTGTGACTAGGGCACAGCGATCACAAAATAAGTGTTCTTTATTCTTAGAGGGGCCAAGAGAGGGCTAAGCAGGACTGATCCTGGACTTCAAAAGGGCTGACTTTGTCTTGTTTAGGCACCTGCTTGAAAGGATCCCCTGGGAGACTCTCCTGAAGGGTATAGGGGCCCAGGAAGGCTGGGCACTCTTCAGGAAGGAAGTGTTAATGGCTCAGGAGCAGGCAGTCCCCAGGTGCTCTAAGAGAAGACCACCCTGGCTGAACAGGGAGCTTTGGCTGCAACTCAGAGAGAAAAGGAGAATTTACATCTTTTGGAAGAAGGGGCTAGCCACACACAGTGATTACAAAGAGGCTGTGAGGCTATGCATGGTGGAAATCAGGAGGGCTAAAGCCCAGCTGGAAATTAATTTGGCCTCTGCAATCAAGGATAACTAGAAATGTTTCTATGTCAGTAGCAAAAGAAAGTCCAGGGAGAGTCTCCATCCCCTGCTAGATGCAGGAGGAAACATGGTAACAAGTGATGAGGAGAAGGCTGAGGTGCTTAATGCCTTCTTTGCCTCAGTCTTTAATAAGATTAGTTGTATTGAGGGAATCCAGACTCCACAGCCAGAAGACAGAGACTGGGAGAATGACCTCCCCAGTAACCCAGGAGGAGTTAGTCAGTGACCTGCTGCATCACATAGACATTCACAAGCCTATGGGACCTGAGAGTGCTGAAGGAGCTGGCTGGGGTGCTCACCAAGCTGCTTTCCATCATTTATGAGCAGTCCTGGCTGACCGGGGAGTTCCTGACTGATTAGAAATTGACCAATGTGATACCCATCTATAAGAAGGGTTGGAAGGATGATCCGGGAGATTACAGGCCTGTCAGTTTGACTTCGGTACCTAAGAAGTGGATGGAGCAGTTTATTCTAAATACCATCATACAACAGATGAGGGACAACCAGATGATCAGGCTCAGTCAGTATGGGTTTATGAAAGGCAGGTCCTGCCTAACAAACCTGATCTCCTTCAATGACAGGGCAACCTGCTTATTCGATGAGGGAAAGCCTGTGGATGTTGTTTACCTTGCCTTTAGCAAGGCCTTTAACACTGTTTCCCACAGCATTTTCTTGGCAAAAATGGCTGCTCGAGGCTTGGACAATCGCACGCTTTGCTGGGTAAAAAAACTGGCTGTATGGCTGAGCCCAAAGAGTGGTGGTGAATGGAGTTAAATCCAGCTCAGTTTTGGGGCCACTGCTGTTTCACATCTTTATTGATGATCTAGACTGGGGGATCGAGTGCACCCTCAGTCAGTTTGCAGATGACACCAAGTTGGGTGGGAGTGTTGATCTGCTCGAGGGTAGGGAGGCTCTGCAGAGAGACCTGGACAGGCTGGAGCCATGGGCTGAGGCCAACTGTAGGAGTTTCAATAAGGCCAAATGCTGGGTGCTGCACTTGGGCCACAACAACCCACAGCAGCGCTACAGGCTTGGGAAGGAGTGGCTGGAGAGCTGCCAGTCAGAGAGGGACCTGGGGATGTTGATTGGCAGTGGATGAACATAAGCCAGCAGTGTCCCCAGGTGGCCAAGAAGGGCAATGGCATCCTGGCTTGTGTCAGGATTAGTGTGACCAGCAGGGTCAGGGAAGGGATCTTGCCCCTGTACTTGACACTAGTGAGGCCACACCTCCATTCCTGTGTTCAGTTTTGGGCCCCTCACTACCAAAAGGACATTGAATGTCTTGAGCGTGTCCAGAGAAGGGCAACGAAGCTGGTGAAGGGTCTGGAGCACAGGTCTGATGGGGACCGGCTGAGGGAACTGGGGGGGTTTAATCTGGAGAAGAGGAGCCTGAGGGGAGACCTTATCACCCTCTACAACTACCTTAAAGGAGGTTGCAGAGAGCTGGGTTTGAGCCTCTTTAACATAGTGGTAAGCAACAGGACAAGATGGAATGGCCTTAGGTTGCACCAGGGAAGGTTTAGACTAGATGTCAGGAAGTATTTCTTTCCAGAACAGGTTGTTAGGCATTGGAATTGGCTGTCCATGGAGGTGGTGGAGTCCCCATCCCTGGAGGTGTTTACGAGTAGGGTTGATTTCGTGCTTAAGGATATGCTGTAGTTGGTAACTGTCAGTGCTAGGTGAATGGTTAGACTAGATGATCTTCAAGGTCCTTTCCAACCTAGATGATTCTATGATATATGTCTTTTAAATATCTCCAGGGATAGTGACTCAACCACTTCACTGGGCAGCCAATTCCAGTGCTTGATAACCATTTCTGTGAGAAAATTTTTTCCTAATATTTGATCTAAACCTCCCCTGGAGCAACTTGAGACCATTTCTTCTTGTCCTATTGCTTGTTGGGGAGACCAGTACCCACCTCACTACAAACTCCTTTCAGGTAGTTGTAGAGGATGATGAGGTCTTCCCTGAGCCTCCTTTCCTCCAGTGTAAACAACCACAGTTCCCACAGCTGCTCCTCACAGGACTTGTTGTCTAGACCCTTCACCAGCTTAATTGCCTTTCTTTGGACACACTCCAGCACCTCACTGTCTTCTAAGGTTACGTGGACATAGCAGGGTAGAATGCCATTTTAAGTAATGAGGGGGAGCTGCCCTCAGTTTGTGGAGAGGTTGTTTTAGTTTGAGTGTGGAAATTAGATATTAAAAACTGCCTGAGAATAGCGAAAGGATATAAAAGACTAGAACATGGATCTGTTGCTTCATTTGGATTAATTCAGAAATATTTATTCCACAAACATATGAATTGGTGTGAAGTTTGTATGTTGTTAATTAGATTTGTTGCTTGTTGAAAGTAAGTGTCTGGACCAGTCAGTTTAATTCAAAAGGATTTAAACAAGGTACAAGTTCAGAAAACAAACTGTAATTAATTAAAGAGGAGGCTAATATAATGAACCGTGACACTAAGAAGTTCTAAAGAGTCAAGCATGGCTACTCTCTGGGGTGGTACTATAAAATGACTAAATAGGAAATAACCTCAAAATGCATTAAACATTCTGAAATCTTCAGTAGTGTGCTGGTAAAGGGTTTAGAGCAAGTTACTGGGACATGGATAACTCCCCCTTGCTACTGCATGGAATTGTTAATTTAGTACTGTGCTTCTTGAGTAATCATGAATAATTTAAATTGAAATACTTTTTAAAAAGTAGTTTATAAAATGCAAGAATGGTATGGAATAAAAGCACTCTAAATCCTTTTTTTCAAGAGATTTGCTCATGAGGAGGAATGTCACATTACTGTTGTCTGAGATCACAGTCATTTAATTGAGCAACAGTGCTACTGGCTAAGTGTGAGACTGTTGGTTAGTAATCTAATTCATTTTTTTCTTTTTGTTTTAGCTAGCTGGGGTGGCCTTCCTTGCGGCTGGTCTGTGGGCATGGAGTGAAAAGGTAAGGGTAGAAATGACTGTTCTTACTTTGGCTGCCTTTTCCTGCCCCAGTAAAATTATTTCCTTAGGAAGCAGCAAATGTTAAATGTAGCATCTGAGCTCAGGACTATGTTCAAATGATTGAAACTGAGTTTAGCTGCAGTTTCATTCTTGTCCCTGATCAGGTGTTTAGTTGTGGCTCTTAATGGCTACAGGTCCTTAGACCTTTTCATGTAAAATTGTAAGATCAGGATCCTAGTGAGAATTGAATCGTTATGAATAGTCTTTATGAACTGGTTCTCTTTTGAAAGTGTGTTTTTTAAAATACACTTCTCTACCCATCTCTATTAAAAATGAGAAGCATTTGTGAGTAATGTAAAAGATACATATTTTTATATTTAAAAAGACCTCAAACCAAACATATCTTTGAGACCATATTTCTAAAGTATTCCAGCCTTCAGGCTATCTGTTTTCTTCCACTTTATTCCCCATGGAATTGCTTAAGTCTCTGCATAGAGGAACAAAATTGGAATGTGATTTAGCTGCATAATACTCTTTTCGCAAAGTTTTCTTTAAGCTGAATAACTTCCTCAGAGAAGTCTGTGCAGGCATGTACCTATGGAGTTTTCCTGTTAGAAGAGATGGTATAGGTGTGGAAATGAATGGTGTTCCCTTGTTATGAATAAAACATGGCATAGCTTTATGACTGCAAGCAGTAGGGAAAAGTGACAGTTACTAGCAGATTTATTGATCTGCATCTTAACAGTGGAGGGCAGGTACCCTCACTGTTCAGTTGTGCTGCTGAGTAAGAACACTTATAATTATCATTGTAGGGTAACGTTTCTTTAATCAGAGTGTGTGTACACAGCAGCTCCCAACATACAGAGAAGTTACGGGATTTGTCCACTTTTTGGAAGTGAAAGAGTTTTATGATGATCTTAATGCTTCTATATGTGTGCACACATTCTCAAAACTAGCTTAGGCTGCTTATCAGTGATATCACTGTCTCCACACACAAATGCATTTAACTCTTGTTATAAAAGGATTTTCTTTCCAACCCTATAGGGAGGGTATTAATTTTTTCTTGAATTTGCGTTCTCTCGTATTCAGACATGATCTTCTGTTCTGTGAAGAAGCACATAGGATCTGTGTGGTTGGAAATTAGTAGTTCACAACTCGCTCCCTTTGCCAAATGGACTTTATGGTACAGTCAAGTTACTCAAAGACAAGGACAGATTCTTTCTGTCTTTATTTCTTAAGTTTTGCCTGAACTATTTCTGCTCTCTGTCCTATCTTGCAAATAAGTTCTTCAAAGCTTTTCCTGTAGTGTTGAACTTCTGAATGGCTCATGAAATCTGTACATTATTTTTCATGTCTATTGTTCTGTGTTGTGTGGGCAGTCTTTCATACTAGTGCTGTTCTTCAGCTATGGTGCTTGTATAGATCTGTCTGTTTACAGATAAAAATCTTGGTGAACAATAGATGGGAAGTAAGAGAAAAACATACCAGAAGCTGTGCTGCAGTGGTAAACCCAAAGATAAACTACAGGTAGTGGAAGAGTTTTGAACATCCTGTCTCTGAGTGCAGCATGAAGTACATTGCAACCTTTTAACTTACCTGTTTTTTCTTGTCTTTTTTTTTTTTTTTTTTTTTTTTTTTTTTTTTTTTTCACTAGGACTACACTTCATACCGATTCTTTAGCAGTCTTTTTCTGGATATAAATCCCATGCGTCTCTTAGCTGATAATATATCAAAATGAGATTTCTGTTTTGTAAGAACTGTTGAAAATACTGTATGTAATGTTACTCATCCTGATTTGTTGTTGGGAGATAATGGGCATGTGAGCAATCCTGCACGTGTGCACGCCTCGGCAAGGACATGACAAGGACATAGCCCTGAAGAGAGAACAAACAACTCAGCAAACAAACAACTCCAGGAGATGGGTTGGGTGGAGAAAGACATTGAGTGTGGTGCTTATTATCCAATCTCAAGAAAACTTGAAACACGTGGACAAAGCTAACTATCCAATCATAAGGACTGTACCACGTACCGTTCGTGGGCACAGGAGAAAGCATTATAAAAGGGCTTGTTTACCTTCAGTAAATGGACATTGCTTGATCATATTGGTTGTGTGCATGTCCATATCTCCCGCAAAGTGGTGCCTGAAGGGGGACCCTCAAGATTGGCACAAGTCTTAATTGAAGAACTCGACGGAGATGTAATCTAGGGTGGAAAGCTGGTCGAAACTGATCCAGACTCTGTCCCGGAGTCCAAGGGTAAGGAAGCAGCGCGCTGTAATTTGGGTTCAAGTTCCGCCAAAAAAAAAAAATGTGTCGGCTGGGCAGAAATGCGGTCTACACTCAATAAAGATGAGCAAGTAGTGGTGAAAGTCCTCCAAAATATCCTCTCCATGAGAGGGATAAAATATGATAAGTCCACCCTGGAAGACTTGGTAAAATGGAGCCAGGAAAGAGGACTTATCTCCAGTGCAGGTCTCGCATTTGAGATATCTACCTGGGAATCCATAGGAAAACAGCTCTTGGACTCGATCATTGAGGGGTGAAAGTCAGCAGAAAAAGTGAGCTGCTATCCCATGCTCTGGAAGCTGATCCGCAAGACAATGGAGGAGCTGAGAGGCGACCATGTGGCTGGTGACCGTGTGGCTGTCGCTTCCACCTTTACAGCTCTAGGAGCGACATCTAACTCTGATATACCGCCTCCGGTGCCTGTGCCCCTGGCAGATCCCATCGTGTTAGGTCAGCCAAAAAACCTGTTTGCTTCATCGGTCATGCTGGCGGGATTGCGGTTGGCAATGGGGGCTAGACTGGGGGCTGCACAGGCAGGAGCGGGAGATGCCAGAAGTGTGTCTGACTCTGTGAGAGAGGAATGAGGAGAGACCAGAAGAGTTGCCGGAGTCCAGCAGTGGGCAGAGCACGGATGGGAGCGTAGATGGAAATGACGTATCGCTGCCTACGCCTTCCTCGCAGGGAGAAAAAAACCCCACCTCACGTCGGCTTTTCAAACACAGAAACCTTACTCCTGCAACTTGTAGACAAGCTTGAAAAACTGGCTGCAACACGGGGGGAGAAGATGGAACACAAATCATATACCTTTTCGTCTGGTATGCAGCCGCAGCTATCTGCTCCTGACCCACCACCTGAGTATTCAGTTCCAGTACCTGCTTCTAATCCATTCTTGTTATCATCACAGGCGGAGGCTGCGCTTCCTTTGTCTCACCCTACAACTTCACATCTTTTTTTCTTCACAGGTGCAGAGTGCCTCTGTGGCCACATGCTGATGGAAAGGGATTATTAGAGATGCTATAGTGGAGGGGTCTTTTATTCCTGAAAGCGTAGAAGCGTTTCCTATTTCTGTTAATAGTGTTAGCGGTACTAACGAATGGGTTCCTTTAGATTGGAAATTGCTTCATAAGGCTAGAGCTTCAGTAATGCAAAATGGCCTTCACCATCAATTAACAAAACAAATCATTAATTATATTTTTTCATCATCACGGTTAATTGCAAAAGATATTGATCAAAGAGCGGCAGTTATATTAACTCAATCTAAAAAAAATGTTGTTTGAAAGTGCATGGACTAAAAAGTAGCTAATAATGAATAAGCTCAGCCTCGACCACAAGGCGATCCGCTTTATCTCGTTCAAGCACAAATGTTGTTAGGTACAGGACCTTTTGCAGCAGTAGATATACAAGTCAATTTCTCTAATGAAATGTTGCGACTATCGCAGTCAGTAGCTTGTCACGCGCTAATGTCTGTACTTGATACAGAAGGGAAATGGCAAGATAAATTTGTAACAGTAAAACAAGGTCTTAATGAGCCTTATTCTAAATTTGTAGATCACCTCTGTGACTCTCTTGAACAGCAGTATGACATGACCATAGAAATGAAGGAAAACATGTTTAAATTAATGGCCTTTGACAATGCTAATCCATCCACCAAGCAATTGTTAGTTACTCTCCCACAAGGAGTGTCTGTAGCTGACATGTTTGAATTAACCAATAGAGGGATGCAGCAAGCTAATGTTACAGTTTATGTGGCTACTGTGCATGAGGTGGTTACACCATTTTTCCAAAATAAAGAGGGGGAAGAAAAAAGAGGGAAGAAGTGCTATAATTGTGGCAAAGAAGGTCATTTTCAAGCGCAATGCAAAAGTACACAGGTTCAAAAAAGGTGTAATAATTGTCATAATCACTATGAGGAGGAGTGTAGAAAGCATTCGGGAAACTTGAGAAGGAGCACGAATCCCTCTCGTGCGCGGACACAAATAAGGGGTGTATGGCAAGCTCAGAATCAGGGACAGGAGGTGGTTTCCTGTCCAGTCTCACCTCTGCCACAGCAGTGAGTGCCGGAGTGGACGTGGAAACAGTAGTAGATGTCACAATACAAGATCAGAACATCCACTTAGTGGATAGTAATTTGAAAGGACTGTTACGATTTGGATTAAGTGCTCTCTTAATAGGGAGATCATCAACAACTTGCCAAGGCATTCAAGTATTATTGGGAGTAAATGATGCGGATTATACTGGTGTTATAAAAATAATGGTTCAAACCCTAACCCCATCTGTGTTTATCCCCAAAGACAGCAGAATTGCCCAGCTTATGCTGTTTAAAGCCCGTGTTCCAAATATAGGGGAAGGTAATCAAGGGACTGGTGGATTTGGATCAACTGGACAACCGCAAGTATATCTGTTTCTTGATATAAACCAAGGAAAACCAGAATATGAAATGGTTATCCAATCCCCTGATGGGACTTGGAAAAAATAAAAATGTTGGTAGATACAGGGGCTGACATTACAATTATATCAGCCCAACAGTTGCCTGCCTCATGGCCTTACCATTGCGGCGACCACAGGAGTGTTTGGCATTGGGGGATCCCAAGCCCACAGAATTAGTAAGAATTTCACTGTAATTTTAGTCAATGCAGTGATGGAGTCTGAGATCTTTACAGCCAGGATTACTTTCTCCTTCCATGATACCAGAATCTTGGTCAGTATTAATCACTGA